CTACCACTTTGTTTGTAACTCTGTATTGTCTGTACTGTTCTTTTGCTATTTTGTAAAAGGTTGTCTGTCTGTTAATGTTTTCCTCCTTTTATTTCTAAAATAAAAAAAAAAGGAAGAGCCTTCTTGAGGCAGAAACCACCAACTGTGCTTCCATTTTGTTCTTAATTCTTTTGCTAAATTATATTTTCTTTTATTTTTGAATTTAAATAATTTTTGCATTTGTCTTTTGAGACAGGGTCTCACTATGTAGTTTAGGTCAGCCTTGGACCCACTATGAAACACAGGGTGGCTTTGAACTCATGGGGATCCTCCTGCCTCAGTCTCCTCAGTGCTGGGGTTACAGGTGTGCACTAGTGCGCCCACATAGAAATTTTAACTGATAACACAAAAATATAAAAACTGCATCTATTTATGGGACTCCATGTGACATTTCAATACATATGTAGATAGTACGGTGTTTAAATCTGGTTGAATGTATCTGTCCCCTCAAACAGTTGTCATTTCTTTATGGCAAAACTATTCAAAATCCTTTCGCCTAGCTTTGCAAAGTCACCTTCCCGGGCAACAGTACAACGAGCACTTCTAATTCTCCTCTTGCTGTAACTCACTGTCTGTGGACCGATCTCTTGCCACCTCTCCCTCTGGTCACCCCCACACTGCTCTCCACTCTTCGCGTCCCCCCTGGAGGTGAATTTTTTAAAGGGTGGAGGGCTGTCGATGACATCAGCTGGACCTTTCTGGGAAAAGCAGATTGAAGCGCTAGGAAAAACAAGATGCACAAACCGTCTTTTTGTGCAGCAAGCCCAGGTCCCTCTTGAATTTGTCAAGCAAGTGGGTGTAAAAAGCTGAAGGTATTTATAGACAGAGGCTCTCTTCTGGCCGCTCACTGGCATTTTCCATTGGACGGACAGGAACTGTGCCGAGCCGCGGTGTTGAGCACGCTCGTCCTGGCTTTGGAAGCCTCGCGGTGGCATCTGAGAGCAACGCCACCACGGCCACCGCACCTTGAGCGAGCGCTGTGGCAGGTTAGGTTGGGACAGACATGGCCAAGGGTGCCAACTGGCCCGGAATTTATGCCTGCACATAGCAGAGAAATAAAGCTCCCCTTCCCACCAAACCCCCAATCTGATGGCACTGTCTTGTGTTCTTGGGACGGCCTCCAGGCTGAGAGAATAGATCGCTGTGGGCTTTCTGATTAAATTCAGTAGTATGAACTCCTGCGCCCTGGCCAGCGAGAGCTTTCTGTCCATTGGGGTCAACCTGTCCAAGCGCTGGCGCTTCCACTGTGGCCACAGGGACTGGCTGGCAACCTGGCGTTTTTACTCTTCCAAACTCCACAACTGTGCGGGTCCTCCTGAGTCTGGTTGTGCCTTTCTGAGAGAAGAAGGTAGAGGAAGGAGGGGTTCGCACCTGGAGGCCCCAGGGTTCCTCGGGGGGCAGAACAGGTTCTCTCCTAGATTCTATCCTCGTTGGGACAAAGGGACCTCCTGGGTCCCAGGCACAACGGTTGGTCCTCCTGACCTCTGAAATGGCTCCGAGAAGAGGACAGCACGCACATCTGGACGTGATCCCTGAGATGATGACATCATTTGTGAGGGAGCCCTAGGGTGAGGGTTGGCGTCTCAGGCCACCAGGGAGCAGACGGGAGAGCCCTGGTCACCGATGCCAAGTCTGTGTCGACAGAAGAGGGCCTGTGGGAGTAGCGCCTTGCTCAGTCCCAGATAATTCAAAGGCACCAGCTGGTGGATCTCCGAGCTGGAGCTGTGCTTCAGAGGCCACTGGTTGTGCAGCTGCCTCTCAGCGCATGCTCATTCGACCTGTGTGTCTTCAAGGCGTGCGCACTGCAGCAGGTGTATAAAGACCACAGGGGGCTGGGGATTTAGCTCAGCGGCAAAAGCGCCTGCCTGGCATG